CTTTAACGAAATAGGATAAATACATCTCTTATATAGGATTTAGTGGCAGTGTCGAAAACCTACTTATCACTGAAAAATAAGTAATGTTATTGATTGCTATAGCAAATAAAAATTTGCTTCATCGACAATCTTATCGCAGAATGTGATATGGGAAAATGCCTGGCCTTCTTTGAAATTCACATTTGCCCTGTGACCCAAGGGTACTCGTGGCAGTGCGGCGTTATGCTTAACGTGTCGAGATAATGCGCTGCACTGTCACGGTTTGTGTGCCGCTGGGAGAGCTGAGGACGCCTAGACGAGGTCGAAACTGCAGTCCACTCTGGATGGAAATATTAATTAGGATGCAAGGCTATATGAACTTCAATGGAAAAATAAGGCCTACTTATGGCATTGTAAGAAAATTCAACAACAAATCCGTTTTCACGTTAACAAAAATAGAGTAAAAACATCTCTTAGCCCTGATCTTATCTTATCTGTCTGTGGATAGATTCAATGATTGCTTGATTACTTATAATAGTGGGTTCTATTCTATTCAGATACCGAAATTGAGGCCCAACAAGGACTGGCATTCCTCACCGCTACCCAGCCACCAGAGTCTGGAGGAGGTTGTTGGGTCTCAAATCACCTAAACCTGACTAATCTTCCATCCATCTATACCGGTGCTTCTTCATCAAATGGTCTCAACAGCTTACCACCTCCGATTCCAATGAAGCCCGGCGACCTGTCAAGTCGAGCTTGGAGTCTGCCAAAGGCTATTACAGTTTCTACAACGAATGCAGCTCAGCTGACAATAGCCAGTTCGAATGAGTCCTTGGAAATGGCGCCTGAGCCACCCCAAAGGCTTTCCTCATGTCGACGCAGTAGACGGCACACTGAAGAGCTACTGGCGCAGGAGGGTGGTTCACTCCACAAGGCCAGACGTGGTCAATTTGGTTTCAGGCGTGGAGCTCGAAAAATGGCATCACAGGGGCCCAACCTTGTCATGGCACCTTCTCCTAGAGTTAGTTAGGCGTTTCTATTAAGCCATTTTAATACGAAAGAGTAATTTTATCTGACACCTTGGCATATATATCCTTATATGTTTTTCTACTTTAACCATATACTACAAGTCGATTCATATGTGCAATGATAGCCTACCTCCAGAATTGCCACTATAATTATAATTCAAATTTTCAAAAATAATGAGTCGTATTAAGTCGTTTGAGGTGATTTCAGGGTTTATAGATATTTCCCACAGCTAAATGAGTATACCGCATTATATCATTGAATTACACCGAGCCATGTTTCCCATTATACTTTTCTTATCTAGACTAGACGGTTGTTTTAGTACCTTGGCTCAATCAGCCCCAGCAACGGGACTCGAAACCTCGTGATAACACGTTTCAACTTCGCAACAGCCACAAATGCAAGTGACTCACAGAACAAATGGGATACTCAAGGCGAGCCAAATAGCATTGACAGTGGGTTGGTTAAGTAGGCAACTATGCATTTGCCATTAAAGTCTACTACATTACTTCTTCTCGATACAAGTAGATTTCGAGACTATTAGTAATCTTATACAAAAACTTAATCATTCTTGGTCGCTTAAGTTAAATAAAAGACTTATAGCTGAGTGAGTAGACTTAATGATGCCAGTGCATTTTACTTAGCCCTAACTCCTGAAAGGCCATCTCGTTAAGGCTGAACTTCAGTTAATGATAATTTCGAAGCCTGCATGTATCGAAAATATGTGGCAAATACATATTTGCCTGATCGAAAATTCCAGAATGAATTGGATTTGTAAGAGGTCTGAATCTCCTTGAATGCCACGTCTGCCCTGTAACCTATTAGCACTCTTGGCTGAGTC